GCCTGCAGCGTCCTGGGCCGTCCTCCCCGGCCTGGGCCGTCCTCCCCGGCCTGGAGCGTCCTGGGCCGTCCTCCCCGGCCTGCAACATCCTGGCCGTCCTCCCCGGCCTGGGCCGTCCTCCCCAGCCTGGAACGTCCTGGGCCGTCCTCCCCGGCCTGGAGCATCCTGGGCCGTCCTCCCCGGCCTGGGCCGTCCTCCCCGGCCTGGAACGTCCTGGGCCGTCCTCCCCGGCCTGGGGGCCAGCTGCTTTATCCCCTTGAGGTGCTGGCGTGTACCTGGGCTGATTTCTGCACTTCTTCACTCCGATCCACTGGCCTGGTGCCACATTGTTCTGAGTACTGTCGCTTTACAGTGGAGTCGGAAGTCGGAGAAAGGGATGTCGCATCACCTTCCTTCCTTGTCGGGCTTTTGCAAATTGAGGTCCTCTGTGGTTCCATGTAAATGTCACTGTTTTCTGGTTCATGTCTTGGAAGAACGCTGCTGGCACTCTGATGGGGACTCACTGGCCTCGTGCATCACTTCAGGCAGGGCAGCCGTTCCCGTTACAGCTTGTCCTCCCGCCGTGCGCACGGAGTCTTTCCTTCCTTGTGGCTTCCGCCGAGACCCCTTCGTGGCCTCGTGCATTTCTCACTGTTCAGGTCTTTCGTCTCCTCTGTTGAGTCCGAGGCGTCTGACTCTTTTTTGAAGCAGCGATAAATGGGGTTATTGTCTAGTTCCTTTTGCTTCCTGGTTGTGTGTGTGTGTGAAGTTCTGGACTTGTATGTTGGCTGTGTAACTTTCCACCTCGCTGTACTCAGTTGTGCCTTATGCGACTTTCTGAGGGCGACGTTATGATTTTCTCTGTGTGACACAGAAACTATGGCATATAGACTCGTTATCTGCAAACAGTGATACTTTCACTTCTTCTTTTCTGACCTGGATCCCCTTTATTTCTTGTGTTTGTCTGGCACCTTTGGCCCAAACCTCCAGAGCCAAGCTGTGCTGACGTCGGCATCCGCCCGGCCGTCTGGGGAGAGCTTCAGCTCCGGGCGCCCGCGACTGGCTGCTGGCTTGCGATCTGGAGCCTCCTCTGTCGGGGAAGCTTCATTCTCTCCGCACTGGCTTAGCTTTCGACCATAAGTGCCCTCTGCCCCGTCGGTATTACCGTAGCGTTTTATCTTCACGTTCGCTGCGGTGATGTGTGGGGCCATCCTGGCTTCTCTGCAGTGAGCCCCCCCTGCCGGCCAACCTGCTCCCCGGGGGGGACTGTGAGCGCGGTTTGCCAGTTACCTCGTCACACGCTGCCCACGGCCGCCCACCAGACGCTGGTCTCAATGTCCTCGTGCTGGTTTGGGCTTCCCAGGATGTGCCGGGAGCATTCATGCCTGCGGACTGCTTGAGCGAGGTGCACGTTAGTTTGTTAAAAATCTGATAAAATTCATCTGGTTTGATAAAAATCACATGGTCCCGGGCTTCCGGTTTCTGGAAGAGTTCCTGCTGCGCGTCCGTTTCCGTAGAGGGGCTTGTCCAGTTCGCTGCGTGCTGGCTGCGGCGGCTGCGTTTCCCTGAGATGACGGCAGCGGTCTCCCCCCATTTCTGTGTCTCCTTCCTCGTCCTCAGTCACTTCTGATTCAGTTCATTGCTTTTCCCTTTTAGTTTTAGCTCAGCGAGAGGTCTGCCTTCGCCGCTCGGGCCACTGGTGTCTCTTGCGGCCTCCCCAGCGTCTGTCTCCCTCACTTCTGCCCTGGTTTTCCTTTCTTCGCTGTGCGGACTGCCGACCGTGCCTGTCATAGCCACGGGCTGCTGGGCCTCTGGCGCCGGCCAGCGGCCGTCCCTCGCGCGCGCTCTGCCTCCCGGGCTCTGTGGCCCCGACGGTCATGTCTGTTCATCCCAGGCGCGTTTTAAATTCTGCCCGGTTGCTGTTCCGGGCCACACTGTTCATTCCCCGCATACTCAGTTTTCCTGATGCTTTTTAACTTAATGGAATTATAGAAAAAATATCAGGTACCACGTCCCTCTGGTGGCCTCAGTGACCGCTGGCCGCGCCCCGCCACGTGTTCTGCTCGTGAACGTGTCCACGTGCGTCTGAGGGGCGTCTGCACGGGTTGGGGTGCAGGGTCCTCCAGGTGCCCGTCTGCCCGGCTGGGTGGAACCCCC